TAACTGTATTTTATACCTAAAATGTACCAACAAAGTTAATGGGGAAAATAAAAAAAAACAACAACTGTTAGTAACTGGAATCATTAAAGTTTGTAGGTAATAAGCCTATGTAAAAGTTTTATGAGCTTTGTGAAAGTAAGACATTGGTCCTTGTTTATACGTAGTGCAAGATGGTATTTTTGGATATGTTATTTTTACTGGGAGTCATCTGGTGTTCATGTTGATTGCTTTGGTTCTTTCTCAGATGTGGAAGAGCTGACACCAGCTTTGGATTTACTTTGTTCAGCAATTAAAGAAAATGATTCTGAAACCCAAAGCAAACAGTTTTCAGAACAGTTGCTTACTCTTACACTATCGTTCCTTAACAAACAAATAAAGGAGCTTTTTATTCACACTAAAGGTAAGAATAGCAGCAAGGAAGGGAGCAGTTGTACCATTCCTATGTTGGGACAGAGATACAAATGCTGCTTTTGCATGAAAGAGCTTAAGCCAATGAATTACCATTTATTAATGTTGAGTAAACTAGACATGTAATTGAATGAAATGAGGTTTTTTTGTTGCTTTTTGTTTTTTGGGTTTTTTTGGTACCGGGGATTGAACTCAGTTCCTTGCGCTTGGACAGCAGGCGGCGAAACCACTGAGCACTTAAATCCCGACCCCTGAAATGAGTTTTGACACTGGGAAACTTGGCAGAAAGGCCTGGGACTAAATGTGAACTGTGTGAAAACGACTACATTAAAATACTGGTACCTATACCTAGAAACAGCTTAAAACAAGAAATTTTAAAATATCAATTTTGAATTTTGGAATTCTTTAGGATTCTTCATAATTATGTCATAGCACATTCTTTCTCTGTCCCTCTTCCCTTCTATTTATGCGCACATACACATGAACTGGCATATTGGCATTTTCTGATTTTCCTTAGAGCTAGACGAACATCTACAGAAAGGAGTGAACATTTTGACCAGCTACATTAATGATCTTCGAACTTTCATGATAAAGTTTCCTTGGAAGCTAACAGATGCTATAGACGAATATGATGTAAATGAAAATATCCCTACAGTAAAGGAGAGCACTATTTGGGAGAAGCTCAGCTTTGAGGTAAATATAAGCAGTTACCACATTACTTTTATGTGCCAGATGCAGAGGCTCTGAGAAAGCAATAAAAGAAATTGAATTCAGAGTATAGTCTTGTGATTCAGAATCTTTAGCGAGGGCTTTAGATTTTATAGATACTGACATCTCTAGAACTGTTTATTTAATTCAGAACACAGTCAGGCTCCCTCTCAGGGGCAGGTTGGCATACTTGGATCCAAAAGCAAACATTGAGGTGGCTCCTCCCTCAGTGGCTTGGACCTATACAACCTCAGAGCCCTGCATTTCACCAGCCACTGAATCAACTGAGTTTCTCTTGTGATTAGATCTTAGCAAGTTTCTATTTTAGAACTTCATTGCTTGGAGGTGTGCTTGACTTGAATCCTATCTAAAATTCTCACTTATTTGCAGTTAATTTTTTTGTGTCCATTTGTTTGTATTCTTTTTTACAATAGAAGTTAATATAACCTAAATGTGCTGCCCTAAGACTTAGGGACTGAAAAATCCCTTCATTCACAAGGAGTGTAGGAGTTTTGGAAAGAGAAAAGCCAAAATTACTTAACATAGACAATAATCAGGAGTGAAAGAAGGTTGACTGCTGCTAGGTCCTCGAGTCTGTTCTTGGGATGGAGGAACAGATAGGGAGGTACCTGGTGTGACCATTTTTTCTGTATCTCTTACTTATTCTTTAATCAGAAATGACCTGTTTTTCCTGCTATTGTTTAATTGAGACAGGGTTTTGCTGTATAGTTATTGAACTCACTATGTGGTCCAGACTGGCCTCAAAATTGATGTGATCCTCCTGCCTCAGCTTCCCGAGTGCTGGGATTACAGGCATGTGCCACCATGCCAGCTATCCTGCTCTTTTTTTTTTTCATTTTTTATTTTTGGTAGCAGGGATCGAACTCAGGGACCTTGCACTTTTGAGGCAGGCGCAATGCCACTGAGCTAAATTCCCGACCCCTATCCTGCTCTTTGTTCTGACTGCTTTTTCTGTTTCCTCCAAAGGCTTCTCTTCCTATTTTCACCCCTTTTGTGTTCTCTAAGGCACTATCCATGGTGCTCTACTCTTTTTATTCAAAATCACTGATTTTTAACTTTTTGGTGGGGAGTTTCAGTTCACTTTGATGAAAGCTGTAGACACTGTCCCCAAAAGCATGTATGTGAATGTGTGTGTAACACATACACAAAATTTTGGGCATGGCTTAATAGGGTTTACAGATTCCTTTAAGGCCCAGGTTAGCAATACTCCCTTTCTGTTGTCTCTGGAGTTTAGGTTTTTAGTTTATTTAGGTCTTTGTTTCTTCTCACTTGGATTACTGCAAAACCTAATACTGTGGTATCTTGACCTTGAATCGCTTCCATTTATTCTTCACGTTGCTTTCTGAATATTTTTCCTTAAAAAAATGTGTCTGGCCGATGCCTGCCTCGCTAGCACATGGTCCTGAGTTCGATCCCTGGTACCAAATAAAATGTGTCTGATAATATGCTTTTCAAGGATTTTAAATTTCATTTGCTATTCTTTTCAGCTTTTCTTTCAATTATATTGAATAGAGTTCCTTGAAGGCTCTACACGTGCTACTCCTTCTTTTTAGAACACAAATCTCCTTTTCTGCATATATATGTAGAACACTTGCATTGTTTTTGCTTGTTTTTTGTAACCTCTCTTCCATAGGTGAACCTCTTTTGGACCCTCATTTAGCGTCTTGGGATTCTCTTTTCATAGCCCTTATTAGTCAGCACTGTAATCAGTGCTTTATTTGTACTTCCTGCACTAGATTGCATTGTCTTGGAGAGTAGGATCTGCTTTAGTCAGCTTCATATCCCCTCCACCTAGTCCCAGATTTAGTAGTAGATTTTAGTTGATGCTCAAACAGTCCTATGTTGATAATTATAGTAAGAAAATAAAAAGGAACTTAAAAAGTGAATATTTTTCTTCCTTTTCCTAGGAAGTTATTGCTAGTGCTATTTTACACAACAAAATACCAGAGGCACAGACCTTCTTCAGGATGAATAATCATTCTGCTCAAAGACTTGAGGAGCTGATTAGAATAGGCCTAGATTTGGTCTTTGTCAATTTAAAAAAGAACAATATAAAGGAAGCCTCTGAGCTTTTGAAGAATATGGTGAGTAGTGTAATCCATTTTTCTGATCTTAAGTCCCCTAATTCTACCATTCCACCCTCTGTTTTTATCAGTTAAATTTTTCTTAAGATTCCATATGTAACTGTGATCATGCAGTATTTGTCTTTCTGTGTCTGGCTTATTTCACTTAACATAGTGTCCTCTGGGGTTTATCCGTATTGTGGCAAATGGTAGGATTTCCTTTTACCACTGAACTATATCTCTAGCTCCATTACCTTTTTTTTTTTTTTTTTTTTTTTGGTACTGACGGTTGAACATAGAACTTCTTCCACACTAAGCAAGTACTCTACCGCTAAGTAACACTCCCAGCCTATTTTTAATTTTATTTGGAGACTAGGTCTTACTTGTTACCCAGGTTGGGCTCAAACTCATAGTCCTCCTGCCTCAGCCTCCTCAATAGCTGGGAAGGATTTCCTTTTTAAGGCAAATGTTTCATTGAATATATACGTACCACATTTTCTTTATCCAATCATTTGTTGAAGAACGCATAGCTTGTTTTCATATCTCTTCAAGAGATGTTTTAAATGAAGTTTTCCATCACTTTCTGTCTGTTAGGCCTGGGACTTTGTCTAGAAAGAGACAGAGTCTTTGACAGAAACCTTCACACATGTCAGTGCATGCACAGGGCCTCATTGTTTGTTGGAGATCATTTTGTATTGTTCATGTGACCTCATAGATGTCATTTGAACTTTCTGGTGGATTATGCCTTTGCCTGGGCTTTCATGTTCCATGATTTTATGTCATTTGAGAATGAAAGTCCTAGAAGTAGAGCTCCTGGACTAACCTGAAATCTCCCCTAATCTGCATGGTTGGGTTCTTGCCCATGTTGTGCATGAAAATACAGAGAAGTAAACCTATATAAGAGGTTGTTTATGTTGACCTTTGTTTTCAAATGACTTATAGAAGATTGGTGCAGTCTTCATTGTTATAGTAGCCTGGCCTTACCTTAAAGTTCTGCCTTTGCTCTGACAAAATGCCTAAGGACTTTAGGGATAGGCAGTAAATATATATAAAAAATGTAAGAAAATGTAAGAGCAGAAAAGGTGTGTGCTATTATAATAGGATACATATCTGTCGTAAAGTACTACTATATCTAAAATATTTATGTCAGAGCCATTGTTACAAAATCTAAGGTTTTTTGAAAGTAGAAATAAGGACCAAACATATAATAGATATTGGGAAATTAGAAGAAAATGTTCACATGAGAAAGAGAACAAGGGAGGGGAGGAGGAGGGGGAAAGGAAAGAAGGGACAAGAAAAAAAATGGAAGAAAATACAGAAACAAAGCTTTTGTAAATGAGGGGAAGAGGGGTCAGAGGGAGGTGAGGGGAATGGGAAAAAAAGAAGATATATCATATACAGGTACAAATTCCCCATGATGAATGTTATCTGTATATCTAAAATATACTAATAAATATTTTGCTTTAAAAAAATCTAAGGTTTTTGGCTTTTCTATTTTTACTGTAGGGCTTTGATGTAAAAGACCAGCTGCTGAAGATATGTTTCTATACAACTGATAAAAATATTCAGAACTTTTTGGTAGGTACAGGTGAGACTATGCAGCTTACATTTTTAGAAAGCCATAGTTAAAAATTTGGAAGGAAAACTTCAAAATAATGTTCAACTAATAATCTGATAAGTAAATATATGACCCTCTTGTCATCTTTTTAAATGATTGTTTAACATTTATGACAAAGGAAAATTTGAATATTCATTAACTCAGAAGTTCAGAATACTTTTTGTTTTGTTTCGCTGTTCTGGATATGCTTGTGTTTGAACACAAGCCCTCACACACTGGGCTCCAGAAAGTACAGCTTTGGCTCCAGAATATAATCCTTAAATGGCATTTAATCTCATGAGTTTTGTTTTGCAAATATGCTTGGCTTTTGTGAAGTCACTGCTTTAATTATTTTTTTATTCAAGGTTGAAATTTTAAAAGAAAAAAATTTTCTTTCTGAAAAAGAGAAAAGAACTATACACTTTGTACATCAAGTTGAAAAGTTTTATTCGGGATACCTCCAAGAAAATATGCAGATCCAGTCCTTTCCCAGGTAGTTGCATTAGTCCCCTTTTGATAATATTGGAAGAATATTGTAGATAATGGTTAGTTTGTATCAGTTGTGTGCACAATTTTCTTATGTGGAACTAAGCCTACTTTCCCCAGGAAAATACAACTTATATCATACAGAAAGGACTTAGGAATTTCCTGCTACTTCAGTATTTGCATAATCAGAATTATGTCTTTCCTAAAAGAATAGGAATGTTTGAACAGATAAAAAAGAATGATGCTTTTTCCTTCAAAATTAGAAATTGTATATAAGTACTTTATTTTTATATATGGATTTTAGGTATTGGATAAAGGGACAAGATTTTTTCAAGTACAAATCTGTTTTGGACTCATTCCTCAAATACGATCATAAAGATGAGTTTAACAAACAAGACCATAAAATTGCATTAAACTGGGCTCAGTGGTGGGATCAGCCAACAGAAGAATATATGCTTCTCCCCAGAATAAGTCCAGAAGGTAAGTGTGAGAGAGTTTAAACTATGAGCATACTGAATGAGAATTAAAATAGGTGTTGGTATTTTAAATATTTTGACATTTTTGTTTTAGAATTCCCTTTTTTTGGTACCGGAAATTGAACTCAGGACCTTGCGCTTGTGAGGCAGGTGCAGTGCCACTAAGCTAAATCCCTGGCTTTTTTTTTTTTTTTTGGAGACAGGGTCTTGCTCTGTGTAGCCCAGGCTGGCCTAGAACTCGAAGTGGTCCTCCTGCCTCAGCCTCCCAAGTGTAGGGATCTCAGGCATGCACCACTGAACCCAGCACTAAAGTTCCTTTTGATGGGAAAACACTCATTTTCTTTAAAATGCAAGTCGTTGCATTAAGACCTCTTGCTTACTCAAGGGTTCTGTGATGGCTTTGCAGTGTGATAGTGAAAAAAAAAAGTTATATGATTCAATGAATTGAGATTTCAAGGCTAATTATTTTTATCCTAGCTTTAGAATCACATTCTTTGTTTTTCCAGATAGTTTTTGAGTTTCTTCTTGTGTAAATTGGGGATCTATATAATATCAAGACTCTGGAGAATAACTAGCAGTGATGAACAGTTGTAATTCAGAGAATCAAATTCCTGTTTACTATTATAGCCAGTTTTTTATATTAAAGGAAAGGGAAGAAAAGTAGGTTGAACCAACAAGTGAAATGTACAGCTAATAATATTCATTTCATTTTAACTACTAGTAATGAGATACATGATTTAGCTTTTCTTCTGGCTGTAGTATTGTTTATAAAGTGAAGAATGCAAAGGAAGAAAATCGTAAAAGAAGCAAAGAATTTGAAAAATTCATATATAAATGTTTTTGTCTAGATTGTTTATTCAGTTATAATTATATTTATATTAATCAGTGTTGAATTTCATGTCAGTAGTCATAATTAACTGCTATTTTTAAATGTATTTTGTTCTTTGTATAGAATATAAGTCATATTCTCCTGAAACCCTCTGGAGATACCTAACAGCTCATCATGATTGGTTAAGCATTACCTTGTGGATTGGAGAATTTCAGACCCAGGAAAATTACATGTCACTTCAGCAGAACAAATGGCCCCCTCTGACTAGTGATGTTATTGATCAGAATACTTGCTGCAACAACTACATGAAGAATGCAATTTTAGATAAGCTAGCCAGGTATTGTAATTTAAATTACAGTGGAAAGAGTAAAAGGAAGAGCAATAAAAATGGTGAGAGGCAGGAGGCATAAGTCATGGTGGAGCACTTGCCTAGCGTGTTCAATCCCCAGTGCCAAAAAATACATAAGTATATATAAGACACATATACACACATATATCTAATGGTATATATTTTTTTCCTTTGCAATGCTTTAAATCCAGTGCAATATTGTTTCATATTATACAGTTTAAAGGCCATTAACATGTACTGTCTGCACTTAACATTATGTGGTAGTGAATAGGCTCTCAAATTATATATGTAAGTTCTTCCCAAAATACTTTATGTAGAACTGTTGTCAGTAGGGCTGTAAGGAACAAATGGCTAAAAATGAAGAGGATCTCTTAGTGTCCTGTAATTGTACCCACTGTTCTCCATATTATCCCTGCACACATGTGCTGTGTACAGCCTTGAACTTCAAAGGGTTTGCTGAATTCAGTGACAGAGAAAATAGCTCTTGATAAGAAAGATTAGTAACTTTTAAGTTTCGTATCTTATTTTGTATGTATTATTTTCTGTTTGTGCTTGTTGGAGTATCTTTATGTTTTATTGTCCTGACCAGTTTAAAGCTGTGGAGAGTTGAACCCAGAGAAATTAAACACTTTGCTCAAGCCAATTACTTACAGACTTGAATTTTTAAACGCTGATTTTCTAATCACTATTCTTTCCATTGCTTTAAATGTTCTGTAATTGTACAGTGGCATACTGCATAACAATGAAAACTAATTTTAGCTGCAGGTATCATCGTGGATGGATAAATAGTAGATGAGCAATGCATCCCAGTGTTCTACTTGTATGTAAAGTTCAAAATAGGCAAAAGCAAACCACGTATTAAAACACCAAAGTAAAGGGATAGTTATCGCAAAAGTCTGTATAGCAGGGCTGGGGATTTAGCTCAGTGGTTCCGCTGCCTGCCCTGCAAGCTCAAGGTCCAGAGTTCAATTCCTGGTACCAAAAAAAAAAAAAAAAAGTCTGGATAGCGACTAAGTGGTCTAGGAGTAGCAAAGAGCATGCAATGGGAGGAATGTACCAAGGCACAACAAAACATTTTCTATAATTTGGGTAGTGGTCATGTGGTTTCTTTAAAATCATATTTTTTCTGTGCTCTTTTATAATGTGTATATAATGTGTTGCACAATAAATTTGTAAAAAATATTTAAATGCAAATTCCTAACATTTTAGTGATTTTGTTTGGATATTTCGGTGAATTTCTCAGTGATCAGAGCATTCAGCTTTAAGAGCTAACCACTGTTACCACACTGGGTTGTATGGGTCCAAGCAAAAACAAACAAAAAAAATGGAGAGATAGCTTAGTTTAGGTTTTTGACATATCAAAGATAACCTAAGACTGTAATTACTACCTTTAAATACTATACAGGTATACAAACTTTTATAGAAAACTAGCAAAATTAGTATCTTAGAATATATTTATAGAGTAAGAATTGGCAGCCTTAATTTTTAAATACTTATTTTTTAAGTAGCTGAGACTTAAACAATGAAAGTGATTTGGTCTGCTCTAAACCCAGCAACTTTCTAATTTGCCAGCAGGAATGGGATTTTTCTTGCATCTGAACTAGAAGACTTTGAACTCTTGCTCCTAAGACTGAGCCGAACTGGGGGTGTGATACAAGATACCCTCCCTGTTCAAAACTACAAGACCAAAGAGGGCTGGGATTTCCATTCTCACTTCATTCTCTACTGCTTAGAACATGGTCTGCAGCATCTTCTTTATGTCTATCTTGACTGTTATGAGTGAGTACTGAGAATTGACTTTTCACATTTCCTCTTTGCATGCTGCTTGTAAACTGATGTTTAGGAAAATAAGCATTCACATGAGGAATCATGTTCTTTTTGGAGTAGTTTCTCTCACCTCTACCATGGTAAATCTTTTAGTACCGTGCCACATGCAACTAAATGCATATGTGGCTTTTTTGGTGGTATTCTATAACCTCTCTTAACTTTTTAAATAACTGAAGATTAGAATAAAATGAAAGGCATGCTTTTTAAAGTTTTAAAGAGAGGAAGATTATAGAAGTTCACTTAGAGTTCTTTGATACTTTCATTGCAAAGAATGATAATCAACTTTGAATTCATAGTCACTTCATAGTGGCCCTAGTAACGTATTTCTATAGATGGATGTACATCCCTATGTGTCTAAGATCTTCAGAATCCTATTTTGGGCCAGTGTTGATTGTTATTGAGTCAGTAATAACAACAACAAATGTAATCTGGAATATATCAGAGCTTCCACTGGTCTTTAGCATTAGACTAGGTACCTTACCTGCATCAACTAACTTAATCTTCAAAATAACTGCACAGGGCTGTTGCTCCATCTGTGTTTCACAGATGAGGAAGCAGATTTGAGAGAGGCTGAGTCTGAGGCACAAAGCTAGTAAGTGACACAGCCGTGTCCTGTTTACTTTGATTCCAGAGCTCACATTTCCAACAGTAGAGAACTTTCTTTTTTTTTTTTTTTAAATTCTGTGTAGTAAAGACCAGGAGTTTGAACAAAGAATATATTTCTGGTTCATATCATGGAGGTGGGCTGGAGATATAGCTCAGTGGTTCCGCCGCCTGCCTTGCAAGCGCAAGGACCCGAGTTTGATCCCCGGTACCAAAAAAAAAAACCATGAGCCAAATCATATCATGGGGGCTTACTCAGACATAGGTGTGTTTCTCCAAAGCTACTGTGACAAGAGAACAAATTTAAAAGTCATATTTTAAAGTATCTATTCTGAGCCTTAACTAATTTCTAGCTTCTCTGTAGTTGTGTAAAGGTTTTTAAAAATATCTCTTAAATTTGAAAATGCTAAAAAGTTTGTGTTGTAAAAAACAGTAAGGTATTTGTTAATTTTTTATAGAGTTGTAAATTTCATCATGACCATAAAAAAATGTAAACTACTACAACATCAAGAGTGGGAGTATGTTGTGTTATATTGACTTTGTAATTCTGTTGCTAGTTTTCACCTGAACAATCATGCTTACAGCTCTTACCCTATACATAATATGTTAAAGAGAGAGGTTTTATATTTTAATACAGACTCAATCCTGAAAATTGTCCTTTTTTGGAAAAGAAAGAATTACATGAAGCTTACCCTTGGTTTGAATTTTTAGTTCAGTGTCAACAAGTTTCCAGTAATTTGACAGGTAAGAGTATACTGTATTAAATATAAAAATATATATTTGGATAAATAACTGGCCTGGTAAATGGCATTTAATCTATGAACTGCTTAAATACAATCATTTGATGTTAGTCAGATACCTGACTGTATTCCAAGGCCACTCTTTTTTTAAGAAGCAGAGGACCAAAAATGTTAGCCTCTTGCCCACTGTGAAAACCCAGACTTATAGTGGAGAGCTTGTGTAGTCTTGTTCCCTTCTCCTGTTGCTACCTCAGACTTTATTGTCTTTGGGTTTCCATCATCCCGCCAGGTTATCACAGGCTGAATTCCTGCTCTCAGGTCGAGGAACACTCCTTTTACATGAGTACGTGATGCTTGCTTTGAATCATTCATGTATTCATTCATGTAGGCAGTGCTGGGGATCCAACTAGAGCTTTGCATGTTCTAGGCAGGGGCTCTACCATGGAGCTACACCCCTACCCCTGAATTTCTAGTAAGCGGCTCAAAATGGAATGAAAAGAAATCCATGGTATATACAAAATTGTTGTGTCCTCTTTAGTGAAGGTGCTGAGGTAGAGCCTTGTTCTGGTTATAATCAGACAGAAAAGCCCTATTACCTCTAAGGACTCATCCCAGAGTTACAGGAAAAGGGACAAGCCAAATGACTACATAGGCAAGGAAGGTCAGCAACCAATCTTTTATGTAGTGTCCATTTTCTCTTTAAATGAATTTTTCCATAACATGAATTTTTGGTTTTTGTTTTGAGTATTGATTATAAAGTACTATATGTTGATTGTAAAATTTAACAAAAAAATCCGAAGTCACAGACAACTATCTAGAAGGTAACACCTAGCTTAGCTGGGCATGGTGCACACAGCTAGTGACAATCTCAGCTGTCTCGAGGCTGAGGTGGGAAGATTGCAAGTTCAAGTTCTGCCTGTGCAACTAGGATGGCAATGTAACTCAGAGGTAGAGTACTCCTTGGTTCATTCTCCGGTATCCTCTGCCTTCCCACAAGAAAGTGACACACTGGGCCTGGGATTTACCTCAGTGGATCCACCACCTGCCTCGCAAGCGCATGGTCCCGAGTTCAATCCCTGGTACCAAAAAAAGAAAGAAAGAAAGTAACACATCCATAGGTACATAGGAAGGTAACCACCCATAAGTAATCATTGATAATATTTTAATATATTTTTTCAGTTTATTCTTTGTACTTTCTTTTTCATACCTAGTCTGTATTTCTCTCATCAAAAAATATTTATTGTTCTTCTACTTTGTGATAGACAAAAGCGACACGATATAATAAACATGTATGTTTTTCTGTATTGCATTTTTGTCTAATATTATAAGAATTCTCTTGCATTCTTAGAGACAATGACTATTTTAAATGTATATACATAATATTTTATTGTATGGATAGGCCCTTAATTTATTGTTCTCATTTTTTTTGACAATGAGACTGTTTTTAGTTGTTTTCTATTAGAAGTAATAATCTTTTTTGTTTGTTTTTTTGGGGGTTTTTTGAGACAGGGTCTCGCTCTGTAGCTCAGGCTCTCCTTGAACTCACTGTGTAGCCCAGGCTGGCCTCAAACTTGTGGCAGTCCTCCTGCCTCAGCCTCCCAAGTGCTGGTATTACAGGCATGCACCACTACTCCTGGGCTAGGAGTAATAGTCTTGAATATATTTTAACAGAAAATGTTTGCCCTTGTTTCAGATTAATTCCTTAATACAGGTAGGTTTCTGGAAATGAAGTTACTGAGTCAAAGGCTATACGTGTTTTGAAGGTTCTTGTTGTAAGACCAGATTGCTTTCCAATGGAGCTGTAACATTTTATCCATAACTCTCAGACTCTGCTCATCCTGACCAATTGTAATACTTAATAGTGACTATTTTTACTTACTGCTGATTTGATATAGATGACATCTGATTATTTTCATTTTTTATTGCTAGTGAATTATATATTTTTATGTTAGGCATTTACATTTTCTTCTTTGTAAATTGTTTTGTTTTATCCATTTATCTGTTAGAGTCAAGTGTTTTTGACATTGATTTGTATGAGCTCTTTGTTGAGGGCATTAATTCTTAGATTATTGGTTATAGTTTTTCTCCCTAATTGTTACCTTCTATTTTTCTTTGAAATCTTTATCTTTATGTAGACAGATCTTTCCTTTTTTCCCATGATGTCTTTCTATTGCTTAAACTTAGAAAATTCTCTGTACTATGCATGGATTTTAAATTTACACTTTTCCCTCTGAATTATGTTACTTCTTAACTTAGTATTAATCTCTCTTAAGTAGAAAAACATACCCTTTTATCTTTCAGATCCCAAACTGATCTTCCATGCTAGCCTTGCGAATGCTCAGATTTTGATTCCCACCAATCAGGCCAGCATAAGCAGTATGCTGTTGGAAGGCCATACCCTCCTGGCCCTTGCTACTACAATGTATGCTCCTGGGGGTGCCAGCCAGGTGTGAAAAATGCTTTTACCTATTATGGCAAAATAGGAATGATTTTAAATTTAGTAGGAATATCTATGAATTGTCTAGATCTCCATTGATATTAAAATATACCACTGTCAAGTTTTTTGTTAAAGAACACAAAATGGGTAAATTTTAAGTTTTGTATCATATCGTAAGTTGGAAGAAAACGTGTTGGTTAAGGTCCTGAGTTTGATCCCCGGTACCAAAAAAAACCCCCAAAAAACTAATGTGTTATACAAAGCTACTTTTTCCCCATTAATACTGTCTCTTTTAGATTTTGCGATATACAGTGAACCCTTGACTTATATACTTCACCGGTTCCCAAGGGCTGGTTGGTTGTAAGTTATACAACTGAGATCTGGATGTTTACCTGGATACATGCTATAGATAACAAGAGGCAGATGAATCTTTCATTAACCTATTTAACCCAAGTTGTTCACCTGTCAGGCATGTCATAACTTGAGAGTCCACTGTAATTCTCTAAGTTATTTGCCCTTCTATTTGTAATCACCTGTCAGAAATTATAGTTACAGAATAGCTTTAGAGCTGAAGAGAAGGGACCTAGGAGTCATCTACTGTAGTAGTTTTCGAATATTTTAAGGTATTTAATATTGAATTTAAATTTAATTTTTTTTAAACAAGGTTGTACTGTGTAATTCAGGCAGGCCTCGAACTCATGGCAATCCTCCTGCCTCAGCCTCCTAAGTGCCTGGATTACAGGCATGTGCCACCACACCCAGCTTGAATTTAAATATTTTAAACATTACAATAGTAGAGCTTTTTCCAAACAACATACAGTTTGAATACAGTTACTCTAGCTCAGTTTCTTAATATTGCAAATGAGAAAATAGGAAGGCTGGTATTAAATGTCTAATCCAGGGTCAAACAGCCAGTTTGTCTTAGAACCAGAACTAGAACTGTTGCTATTATTAACCTATGACTATTTTTAATAATGCTGTTTTCACTACTGCTTACTCTCTCAAGCTAATCTTTTCACAGGGTTCTTATGAAAAAGAGATGGAAGTTTTGAGAGTGAAAATGTTACTCTGTATCTGTTATGTCTCTTTTTACCTAGGTTGTTCAGAATGAAGAAAATGAGAACTGTTTGAAGAAAGTGGATCCCCAGCTACTCAGGATGGCCTTAACTCCTTACCCAAAGTTAAAAGCTGCTCTCTTCCCACAGTGCACTGCTCCTAGTGTCCTGCCATCTGATATTACACTCTACCACCTCATTCAGGTACAGTAGTTAAGTGTATCAGTCAGGGTTCAGCTGCCAAAACAGAAAACAACTACCTCTTTCAGGTTTTTTTTTTTTTTTGGTACCAGGGATCGAACTTGGGACCTTGCACTTGCAAGGCAGGTGCTGGAACCATTGAGCTAAATCTCCAGCCCACAACTACCTCTTTCAAATGGAGGGGTTTCAGCATAGGGAATTGCTTACACATGGTGAGGCAGAATGAAGAAACCAGACATGATGGCAAGACCACCCAAAAATCAACAAAGGAAGAAGCCTTCAACATGAACAAGATAGCAGTGTTATCAGAACACAGAATCTAGAGTCACTTCTGGGAGCTAAACTTAAAATCAGGCTGCCTAAGAGAGGTGGGAATATAGTGGGATGAAAGTGGAAACTTGGAGGAGAGGCCTCCAGAAAGCAAAGCAAGTTGAAAATGTCTTGGTCTCTTTCACTTCCCACCTTTAATCTCCCCCAATGTCTTTCATGGCTGTACTTGTCTGGTAGCCAGAACAGCAAGGATGCTTGGGAAATGTAGTTCCTTATAACACAAAGCGGACCAGAGGAAGAGTGGAAACATGAGACAGATAGTTGACCAGGATACCTGTCCACTGCTTGCTTCAAAATCCACTTGGCAAGTTAGAGTCCTGTGTTTGAATCAATGCTTCTCAATCGCTTTCAAGACCCAGAGCTCCTTAAGAATGTGAGAGGGGGCCCCAGGGATTTAGCTTAGTGGTTCTGGTTCCTTGCCTTGCAAGCGCAAGGTCCTGAGTTCAGTCCCTAGTACCAAAAAAAAAAAAAAAAGAATGTGAGAGGGCTATGAACCCTATACCCAGAAAAAATTACACAGAAGCATATAGTTTTGTTTATACTTCTTTTTCATAGGGCGTGTGTGTGGTACATAAGGATTACATTCCTTGTTTGTAGTTGGTACATGGACATGACACATCTTAATTCCTGTTTTCATCCTCTGAACTTCTACCTTCCCTCCATCTCTTGATCCTCTTCCCCTTTGAGAAAGCTCTGTCCCCCTAGTTTCTATTGTCTTTCATTTTGCTCTTTATTTATACTGTGGGTTAATTTTGTTTATATTTCAAAGGGATGCACAGACTCCCTGAAGCCTTGATTCAGGGAACTCAGCTAAAAACACCTTTTGCTCATTTCTCAGTTCAAAACACTTTTCTGTTTTTCCTGTTGTACACATAGTCTCATATAGTATCTTCAATCCAGGGTAAGCTCGGTGATTCTATAAAGATACAAAGTCACTCTTACTCTGATGTAAGGAATTCTTAGGATAGGCTGCTGAGAGTATGATCTGCTGACCAGTGCTGATCTGTGAGAACTGATCTTGTGCTTGAATTTAAATCTGTTATATTACCAATCACACTTTCTTATTTCCATAGGTTTTTATCTTATATTTCTTTCCTGAAGAAGGAAGCAGAATGCTAGATTGGCATTCTGGTGCAGGGATCTTATCTCACTGTAGATCAGCACTTTGAGTAGCTGTGGTATAAACTATGAGTGGATTATATAAAAGCCTATTTTCTCTACCTAAAGTGTTATGAATCTGCTTCAAATATACATGGTTTCGCATTGTTCTATAAGTTTTCAAGATCATGGTGTAATTTTAGTGCTGCTATTTTAGAAAAATGTAGGAAACTTGTTCCTTCCTTAATAGACCACAAATTATTTACCCATTGAATCCTGGCTTGCTAACTCTTTTTCCCCTATATCCTTTCCACCATCTATTCATACAGTTTGCTAAGTCTTTGGCCTGAGAAATTCCAAACAGCCACTACTCCTTTTTGTCAACCCTTTCTGACTTGACTGTAGTCTACTTTGGTAATGTTTTTGGTTACCACATTCTTTCATTTGTCTTACTCTTTCCTTTCCCTTCTTGACTTTAATTTTTCTCAAGTTTAAAAAGTAACATTTTCTAGCCTTTTGTTTCCAAAAGCTTTTTTAAAGCATGTCTTCTGTTATAATTGATTTTGCTTTTGCCAAAAGAAAATACATTTTCTAGATATCTCTTGAAGTAAGGTGAGTTTTTAAAAGAACATAGCTACCATTTTTATTAAAATAGAAAGGTCTTTTTTATTGTTTTGTTTTTAGTTGTGTTCAAAGAATTATGGTTCAGAGAGATAAAATTTTATTTTATGATGCTAGGGATTGAACCAAGGCCTTGTTAAGTACTCTGAGTTATGCTCCAGCCCGGCATAAGTTTTTAAATTGCCCTGGAAGTCAGGCATGGTGGTTGGTATACTCCACTCTGAGAGACTGAGGCAGGAAGATTACATGTTTGAGCTCAGCCTGGGCAACTTTCTGAGACCCTGACTCAAAAAAAATAAAATTTAAAGGCAGGGGATGCTGGGGATATGCAAAGGCCCTGGATTCAATATCTAGTAATGAAAAGAAAATTTATTTGGAGAAGCAAATTGCCTGTGAAGGCTTTTCGTATCATTTTGTTTACTTATTTTAGAATCAATAAGCATGTGGCTCTGATTGACTTTTTTTTTTTCAGTCATTGTCGCCCTTTGATCCTAGCAGATTGTTTGGCTGGCAGTCTACCAATACACTAGCAATAGGAGGTAAGTCAATACAGATATTTCTTATATTAGAATTTAATATATATAAATCAAATCCATTTTTTCACTGCTTCCTATTTTAAAAATATAGAAGCTGGGCATGATTGTGCACACCTGTAATCCCAGCACTCAGAAGGCCTAACCAAGAGGAAATAAATTTGAGCAGCTTAACAAGACCCTGTCTCAAAATTTAAAATTTTTTTTGCGAGGCAGGTGGCGGAACCTCAAAATTTAAAATTTTTTTTAAAAAGCTAGAGGTATAGCTCAGTAGAAAAGATCTTAGGTTCAAGCCCCAGTACTACCCAAACTCCCAAAAAGTACCCTTTCTGGGAGACTGATTGCAAACAAATTGCGAGTTAAAAGTCAGTGTATTATCTTAGTAGTGCTGTATTTCCAGCAGTTCATCTTTGTTTGCAATATAGTATCTTAAAGGTTAGGATATCCTTGATAATGGATTAGTAAATTCTATTTCTACCATATAAGAGCTGTATGAGCTTAGACAAGTAATTTAACCTTTCTTCAGTTCCTTATAAAATAAGTTTAATAACAGTGCTCACCTCACATGTTACTGTGAGAGTGAAGAATCTATATATAAAGCTCATGTACTAAGTACCAGATGGATACACATTGCCTCCATGTAGACCATGAGAATTTCTGAGTTTTATGCTCTTCTTAAAACTTAGCCCTTTCTATTTCTTTTACCTTTGCATTTAGGGTTTAAATTCAGCTTTGTCTGTTTTTCTTTCACCCTTGCATTTACGGTTAGGCTTTGATACCATATTCCCTGAGATAGCTCTGTCTGCATTGCTCTCTAAGATTACTTTGCACATGAAAGTACTTCATAAATATTTGACATACATCAGTTGTTTTAATGTATTATATCAGTGTAGCTTGTCAAATGTATTGACATACATAAAAATGAGTTTTCTTTCTTTTTTTGAGTAGGGGCAGTATTAGGGATTGAACAAAGGGGAACTGGATAACTGAGCTACATTTCCAGACCTTTTTAGTTTTTTATTTTGAAACAAGGTCTTGTTAAATTGCCCCGGTGTCCTTGATCACAATCTTCTTGCCTCAGCTTCCTGCATAGCTGGGATTACAGGGATGTACCACTATACCCAACTTTTTCTTTTTTGTTCTAGATGGGGTCTTGTTCTGTGGTTTGAATTGCCCTCAAATTATGATCTTCCCACCTCAGCCTCCCAAGTAGCAGGGATTACAGGCATGGGCCACCATGCCTGGATTATTAAAATGAGTTTTCTAATATATCCATTTGTAGGGCCGAGGATGTAGCTCAGTGGCACTGCACCTGCCTGGCAAGCACAAGATCCTGAGTTCAATCTCCAATACTAGAAAAAAAAAATTATATATATATATATATATATATATATGTATGTATATGCCTATGTATATATTAGAGGGCTGAGGATGTGGTAGAGGGTTTCTGGGTCCAATACCCAGGGCCACAAACAATAGTAACAACAAAACAAAACTAATAATATATCTGTTTGTATAAGTTTTCATCTGATATATTGAATTTACGTACTACCCTGAGTCCAGTTCAGTGCCAGACCTACAGCAGATGTTAAGTAAGTATTTGTTGAGTGCTCAGAAAAGTAGTACTTGCTGCATTATGAAATAAAAACACCCTTTCTGATTTATTAGAATTTTATTTTAATGGCTCTAGCTCCATCACTTAGCCAGCAAGAACCCTGACCACCTCTGGGATATGAAGCCTGCCGGGATTTTAGAAGTTTAGAAAGTACTTGAGGAAATAAGGTACAAAATACATGGAATAGGCGCTGTGAAAACACAATGCGTGTTTATATAATTGAAGAGTCAAGCTTAATTGGAATCCTTTTTTTAATGTGGATTTACCACTGAATAGGGGTGTAAGAAAAATGTGGTGTCTTGGCTTCTGTGGCAGGTAGCATTTTCCCCTATACACAGTCTTCACAGTAGGCTCCATCTGCAAAAAAATCAGAATTATTTGAATAAAAATCTTGTTTGCTTATTTAGCAACTATCAGTACTATATACCTTACATGTTCAATATTTTATATTTTTTTATCTTTATTTCCAGTACCAGGAATTGAACTCAGGACCTTGTGCTTGCCAGACAGGTACAATGCTACTGAGCTACATCCCAGCCCAGCATGTTCAATATTTAATGAACAAATAGCTTTACATAGAGTAATAAGTTACCAAAGTCAGTCTGGCCTCAGAATACAAATAAGAGACGTGTGACAATTTTTTTTTATTTTTTATTTTTTTTGGTACTGGGGATCAAACTCGGGTCCTTGCACTTGCGAGGCAGGTGCCGGAACCACTGAGCTAAATTCCTGGCCCCTGACATGTGACAATTTTTAATCTCAAAGAGTTATACTTCAGGTAATAGCTTTATGAGATAACATACCTTTAAGGTCTCCAAGTCTTTTTTTGTTTTTTTAGGAGCTGAGACAATGTGAAAATTCTTTGAAATTCCATGAAAAGATTAGGCTTTATTCCAGGGATAAACTTTGAACTTTGAAAATATTTTCCAGAACTGGTTCTTGGAACAAGTTCCAAATGTTATTTTATCTCCTTTTTTTCTGGCCATGGGTAGGAAATGGTTAAGAGGCAGTTAAAGATGAGGACTTGAGAGGAATAGCTATTTCATGCTACTCACATCCATGTGTCTTCTGACTTTGAATCTCTAAAAAGAGAAAAAGTTTTCCTGCTATTTTTAAAAGCTCCTTTTGCAGATTAGTAAGTTTTGTAGCTAAAGAGTTCCTGCCATTGTGAAATTAAAAGATCAAATAGAATTTTTTTTGTACTGGGGATCAAACTTGGAACTATGCTTGCAAGGCAGGCAACAGCACCATTGACCTAAATCCCCAGCCTGGATCAAATATAATATTAATAGAACTACAAAGATGGTTCAACGTACACAAATTAATAAGTACCATACACCATGTTAATAGAATGAAGGACAAAAACCATAAATGATACCAATAGATGCAGAAAAAATATTCGATGAAATTCAACATCCTTTCATGATAAAAACTAAAAAAATTTAGTATTTAAGGAATATATCTCAGTGTAATAAAGGTTGTATATATGACAAGCCCTCAGCTTCCATCAGTAGTGACAGTCGAAAATTTTTCCTCTGAGATAGGGAATAAGAACAAGGATGCCCACTCTCACCACTTCTGTTCAACATAATACTGGAAATCCTAGGCAAGAAAAAGAAATGCAGTGGCTAAATCAGAAGGGAAGTTCAGTTGTCATTGTGTATAGATGATATGATTTTGTGTACTGAAAATCCTAAAAGCCACCAAAAACACTTAACAGTTAAAATGAGTAAGTGAAAAAAAACAACAACTAATAAATGAGTTTGGTAAAGTTGTAGACTAGAAGGTTGGCATACAAAAATAGTAATGTTTCTATATGTTAAAAATGAACAATATGAAAAAGAAATCAAAACAGTCCTATTTACAATAGCTTTAAAAGAGTTTAGGAATAAGCCATTTGACTGATAATACTGGCTAATATATTTTGCAAAAAAAAATTGTGTCTTTTTTGTTTTCTCAGTTTTGGCCTAAAACATGTTTGTACTTGTCTGTTTGTAACTTTTGTCTTACTAACATTGATTCGCATATTAAAGGTTATTCTGAGCTTACCTTGAAAAAAAGAAAAAAGAATTTAGGAATAAGCCAGAGGTGAAAGATGTATATATTAGGCTATAAAACATTGGTGAAAGGAATTGAAGACATAAATAAATGGATGTATCCTGTGTTCATAGATTGAAAGAATATTATTAAAATGTTCACACTACATAAAGCATTCTATAAATTCAGTGAAATCCTTGTCAAAATTCCAGTGATGTTTTTCACAGAAATGGAAAAAATTATCTTAAAATTCACATGACCTCCTAGAGAGGTAGAGCAAGCCTGAGCAAAAAGCAAAGCTATAGTAATCAAAACTGTATGGGGGGGCAGGGATTTAGCTCTGGTTCTGCCACTTGCCTCGCATGCGCAAGGTCCTGAGTTTGATCCCTGGTACCAAAACAAAACAAAACAAAACTGTATGGTACTGGTATACAAACAGACACACAGAGAGATGTAACAAGAGTAGAAAACCCAGAAAAAACTCACTCTCGTATGATCAACTAATTTTTAACAAGGACACTAAGAATATACTATGGGGACAGGACTGTCTCTTCAATAAATGGCTATCCTCCTACAAAAATAAAATTGTACCCTTCAGCCATACATGAAAATAAAATTAGATTAAAGACTTAAATGTAAAGTCAGAGAGCTGTGAGGGGTCCTGGTTACAACTGAGGTGGGAGAGGAAGGCCTTGTAGGTTGAGAGGGGCCAGGTAGTCTATCCAGGCTAAAACCAATGCAGTGAAGTTGCACTGCACAGTGGGAGGGCCTGGCACCTGGGGAAGGAATCAAACCTTAACGTTCCCCAGGGGAGGGGACCAGTACCCAACTCCCTGGCTCTTCCTTGCTCTGCTGTAATTTAGGGTGTGGCAGGGGTTGGTGAAGGACCTTCACTCAAGTCCTGTGCGTGAAGGAGGTTTGTGGTCATGATGTGGTTATAATCTTTGTGGCCACTGGAGTAATAAAACACGTGTCTAATCTAGATTGTCCATGGTGAATTGGGGCCTCTTATACTGTCCATCTGAGTTAAAGGCCTACTCCCTCAAACTTTCTCTTTCACCTTCTGCAGTCTCTTTGCTAGCCAAGCCCAGCTGGAGAGGGGTCAGGGCCATCAGGATGCTGTGAAGGTTGGAAGATTGAGTGTGTTAGAACTTTGTTAAAGTGAGTCAAAGAGAAGGAAAGATTTTGTGAATGTGAGGGAAGTCCCAGAACCTCACTATGTCAGGGAGACAGAAGCATGTGGTGTTGACTATTAAAGATAAGTTCAGGGCCAGGGATTTAGCTCGGTGGTTTCGCCGCCTGCGGCTCAAGTGCAAGAACCCGAGTTTAATCCCTGGTACCAAAAAAATTTTAA